TGGTTGCACAACACTGACAAACTGTACACTTAAAAATGGTTAGGATGGCAAATTTTATGTTATGTGTATTTTACCACAATTAAAAGTAGAATGGAAAAAAAAAGATGTTCACAGCAGAGTGGTTTATAAGAAAGAAAAACTGCAAAAGGCCAATCCCTCATCACTAGGGGATTAAACAATTGGTTTACCCAACAAATGAAAACCAATCTGAACAGAGCCAACAAACTGGGGGCCCTGGTCCAGATCCAACGCTTTTGTTTTTGTAAATAAAGTTTTACTGACACAAAGCTACACCCATCGTTTGCATATTGGCTTTGCATTCTAGCTACAATAGCAGAGGTGAGAACCCTTAAGAAGTTTGTGGACCCCTCACTTAGAAGACTCAAGACCCAGAAAAATGATCAGAAATATGTGAGGGAAGCGAGGGGGGGGGGGGGCGGGGGAGGGCAGGGAGAAGTTGGCTCCCAAGCATAGCCACACTGAGCGTTCACTTTTGAAAGAAAATTTTAAATTTTAAAATCATATATGGCTATATGATAGGCAGTCACGCAGACATGAGCAGAGCAAAGAGGAAGGGCCAGGTACAGAAGGTCACCTGGGTGGAAAGCCCCGGGTGCCTAGCAACAGGCAAAACTGGGAAAACTAGGACCTCGCCCCGAGGGTAATCTTTCCTCCCTAGCAAATCGTTGGTCATGAGGTTCGGACCCTCCCCTGACCTTTCCTCCCCTGGCGTGTCGCCAGTCATGCGGTAGACCCCCTTGGAGGAGGAATAGGGGCTAAAGAGTGGCTTCATTCGACTCCCATGCAGGCCCTTGCACAACACTCCCTTGAGCATTAACCCCCAGGAATAGGAATAACATCTAGGCCTCAGTGGTGTTCCAGCTCCAGGCCCAGAGGAGCAGTAAAACCAGACAAGCGAAGCCATGGCTGACATCAGGACCAGCACGAAGGGAACCTGGCCCCGCTCACCAAGCACGCCACTTTACCGGAGAATTGACTAATGACCCCTTGCCCTGGTGCCAACTAATAAGCGGAGAGCGTGACCCTGAAAGGGCACACCTGGAGAGCTGGTGAATCTTCCATGGAGAGCCTCTCCAAGGACCTCCCCTAAAACCCCCACCCTTATAAGCCCTCAGGACAGAGCACCCAATGCCATGCTCTCTAAGAGCACAGGAACCCTTCCCCTCTTTCCCCAGGCGATTTTTCCTGTCGCTCTTTTTCCTAAGCTCCAGGGCCCTTTGTAACTTGCTCCAGAGCCCACACAGCTCAGATGGCTCACATCTTCTACCTCTGTGACTTCCTAAATAAACTTTCTCTCATAGTTGGTCTTGGCTCTGAATTCTTTCTTAGCCAGAACTCAAGTACCCAGGTTGCTGGCTAGAGGTCTGGTCTGACGCCACTGGTCTAACACCTGGTGCCGTCCTCCCAGTCAGCTCTCTCTGGATGGTGGAAATTGGGATACGTTTTATTTTCTCCTTTTGACTTTTCTGTGCTCTCCAAATGTTCTGCATTAAAGGTATTACTTCCCAACGCTATAAAAATGATAATTACGTGACTCGATGGAAGTGTTGGCTAAGAGTACTATGGTAATCAATACATCAATACAAATGTATCACATTCACATGTGTACACCTTAAACTTACACAATGGTTTCCTATGTCAAAGATGTCTCAGTTTTTAAATCAGGTAACAAACAATAAATACCCTTCTCATTGCCTTGGCCCGTAGAGGTAGCTAGTGCTGACTCTGTGGCTTTTAACAATCACAAGTCTTGATAGTAGCAGCCTTACAACCTGGAAAGGTAGGGAGAAGGCCCCATGGGAATTCTCCTGACAGGTTCCCCTCTTGCTAAAATTACAGGACACCCAGGTGGGTGGATCTGATTTTCAGCTGGGGTGGGGTGGGGTTGCTCTAGGCCTCAGCTGTGTTTCAGCTCCAGGCCCAGAGGAGCAGTAAAGCCAGGAGTGGGGAACCTTTTTTCTGCCAAGGGCCATTTGGATATTTATGTCATTCCCTGGCCATACAAAATTATCAACTTAAAAATTAGCCTGCTAAATTTGGTCAAACATTTAATTAATTCACCCTTAATGCCTTGGCAGAGCCAGATCAAATGATTTTGGGGGCCTTATTCGGCCCGCAGGCCGGACGATCCCCACCCCTGCTCTAGGAACTCGTGCCAGGGAGATGAAAAGTGAAAATGTATTGGGGTACTTCGAACTGATTTTGTTAGGATGTTGAGTGCTTCAAAATTCCACTGTGATGACCATTACCCCAGATCCCGCACTCGCTGTTTTTCTAATCCTCCTGGTGCTGTTATTGTTTCGTGTTACAGATTACAGGTGGGGAATCTGAGGCTCAGAAGTTCAGTGACCCTCCCCTCAAGCTCACACAGCTGGCCCAGGGTGGAGTCAGGATTCGAACCAGGAACTGTCTGACTCTCCATCTCCTTGGGCTTTCCACTATATGGGCTGTCCTGCAGGAATAAGAATTTTGGCTGGTTCATTAATAACTCAGAGTCCCACATCATCACCTTGGCTGCGCACAACCCTGTGAGAGTCTTGTAAGCGATTATCAGCTCTTTTTTCAGATGAGAACCTGGAGATCACAGTGAGGAGGGCTGCAACCCAGTAGTGCTCAGACTTCAGGGATGACAGCTTCTGTCCTCTAAAGATACCTTCCTCTAAATCCCATGTTGCTTGTCATGTCAAAAGTAAACCCAGGAGGGCTGCTTGGAGGAGGCATCAGGCAGGCCTGAGATCAAACCCACCTGTCAGCCTCAACTACCTTGCCTATAAAATGAGTTCTCCCCCAGCATGGATGGGTCAGCAAGCCTCGGAAGAGCGGAACAGTGGCTGGTTTCTGTTTATTTCCTAAAAAGTCACCAGCCCTGGTGGGGGCCAGGCCCCTAGCGCAATATTCTCTTTATCTGAAAGCAGAACTCACATTCCAGCTTCTCAACAGCAGGCACCTGGCTTCCAGCTGCCCTGGGCTACTCATTAACCAGGACTGGCCCTCAGGAAGGGGCTGAAGTGGGAGTCTGCTCCCAGTCTGGGGGAGGGAGAGGGGAAGGCAGCGCTGGATGATGTTGGCACTGGGGTCAGACCAACCGGACTTCAAATCCTTCCTCGCCATGTGACCTAGGGGGGAGTCAATTCACCTCTCTAAGCCTCAGCTTCCTATCTGTATATGGAGATAAAGCCTGCGTCCACTTCACAGGACTACTGTGAGGAATGCATGAGCCGGTAAAGTGCCTAGCAGTGATCTGGAACAAGCACTCAATAAATGTCATCTGTCATTTTTACAAAAAGAATAACAGCACTCAAGTCAGAGGACTGTTGTAGGTTAAAATGTGCCTCTCAGCACCATGTTCAGCTGTTAAAGAGTTAAATGTCAGGGAGTATTCTTACTGGCATTTATGATGTTTATGGTGATGACTTTGGAGATGATATGAAGTGGGACAATTCCATGCCTACTTGGCAGCTGGTCAGAGAGGTGTCCTGAGCCACTAGGGACATGAGTGCCTGGCTGTCCACCTCTAATGTCACAGCATGAAGAACAGGTCTCCATGGGGTCAAGTGGACTGTGGCAGAGCACCCGGGTTGGGGAGACTTGGTGACAAGGACAGAATCAGGTCCACCACTGGCAGTAGCAAGCCAAGGGTCTTTGGGCCTTTTCTCCTAGTCCTGGCTTCCTCGATCACCCCAAATCCCAAACCTGGACCAGTGGGAGCTTGGTGAGGGGGCTTTCTCTTCCTTCCCCTCCCCATGCCCACCCCCGCCAGGAGAAATTACTGCCCAGGAAGCCAGGATTTTCCAATTCCAGAGCAGAATCTACTGGGAGTCAGGGCTATCGTTTTTCTACAAGAAATGAGGAGAGAACAGAGCCCAGAAGATGGTGAGGACATGAGTTATTATTTTTGAAACTGTGGTTTCAGTTTCATGCGCGTGTACGTGTGTGAGCACATGCGGCATCCTGTCGTAAAATGTATTTCTTATTGACTGTCACAACTACAAGACTCTGAAAGTCCCAACAGCCAGATCGTTTTACATCAAGGCAAATAAGGCATCTGCAGAAAAGCGACTGAGTCAGGCTCCTGCCCCATCAACCCCCTTTAGAAACAGCGTTGGGATCCTGAACGACTAAGTAAGGGGGGGTGGGGGAACTTCTGTAAATGTCAGGATACGATCAGCAAAAGCGAGATGTCATTAAGGTCTGTAGATTAGATAACAGAGCTGTGCCAGTAGTAAACGTCCTGGGTTGATAATTATGTGCTTACATAAAAGGACAAATGGCCTTGTTCTTATGAAACACATGCTGAAGGGTTAGTTAGGGGTAAAGGGGCATCTTGACTGCAAAACCCCCAATGAGAGAGAGAGAGAGAGAGAGAGAGAGAGAGAGAGAGAGAGAGAGAGAGAGAGAGAGAGAGAGGGAGAATTAAAGGGACTATCTTTATACCATAGAGAGAAATAGATGATGCCAAAGTGGCACATGTTGACAATGAGAAAATCTAAGTGAAGGGTATATGGGAATTCACGGTAATATTCTTGCAACTTTTCTGAAGGGCTTCACTTTTTTAAAAATAAAAAGTTTAATGAAGAGAAAGTTGGGATAGCAGCCCCGATTCCTGGAACATCCTGTCTGTGCCAGAAGCCAAGCGGATCACCCTTTCACACGGGTCCGACCCCAACCCTCAGAATCAGCTCGGCAAGGACCCCATCACTGCTTGGTGGCAAAGCCAGGATGGGAACTAGGCCAGGACTCCAAAATCAGTGCTTGGCCCATTTGCAGGGCTGCCTCCCTGGCACAGACTGGCACAGGTAGCCAACCCGGGCTATGGACCTGCCACCCAGAGGTGACACCATGTGGATAAGGTCCCATGGCCTGGGTCTGCCTTCCCCTCTCAGAGCCTGGAGTAAACACCAAGCTCCGAGGCACCACACCTCATGTCACGGCCGAGTTGGCATAACCCATCGCTGTGGGGAGAGCTCAATGCCACTTACGTTTGGAGGCTCCTCAGAAAGGGCTGCTGCTCTGGACCTATCACAATGAGTGGAAGCAAAGAAGGAAAGATCTGGTCAGGTTGTGACTTGTGACTATACACAGGACTCAGTCTTCTTCCAGATGTGACCACCCAGCTCACACATGCTAGGAAGGGCCCCCAACAGCACACAGCGGGGACAGAAAACTGGGGTGCTGAGGCGCTCCTGCACACTCACATGCTCCCACACAGACACACTTGCTCACACGCCCCTCTCCTGGGTGCAGTGTCCCTGAAACTGTCCGCCGGTAGCCTGTGCTGGGAGGAGCAGATGGCCCAGCCCAGCATTGGGAGGAGATGGTTCTTCTTGCTGCCTAAGCTGCATACCTCGCCCCCCCCCCCCTGCCCCGAGCCCCGATCAAAATGCCCACACTCCTGTGGGCACCCCACCAGCCCAGTCATGTGCCCAGGTCTGGGACTGGCTGTTTGCTGCAAGCAAGGGGACATGCCAAGGTCAGATAGATGAGCTTCAAGGCTCTAGAGACCCCAGATTCTTGGAAAATACTTATCAACTATTTAGAGGCTCTGAGATTCATGTGCCAAGAAATCTGTTGAACTGTGCTGAGCCAAGCAGTCCCCAAACCTGAATGACCACCAGCTGGGAGGCTCTCCTGGTTTGCTGGAATACGAAAATGCAGAAATCCAGGAAATGGTTCCTTAACAACTAAGATCTTACATTTAAGTGCAATGGCAGAGGGCCTCCAGGCTAGGGCCTTCCCATTCTTCATGCGTTTGCAGCCCAACCCTTACGCCCTCTTTCTCAGCCTCAGAAAAGGTCTCAGAAGTCTAGAGAGCTCCCTGTCCCCCAGATTAGACAACCTCATGGCTATGTTAGGGCCCCCACAGTCAAGGCATTGAGAACACAGTAGTGAACAAGACAGCCGAGGTCCCATAGAGCCTGGAACCCATGGTAAAGGCCAACATGTGACAAAGATGTCATGGAGCCTTTATTTTCTGGGTGGACACATGTGACGGCTGGGGTGGATTAGAAATGTCTCCAACTCATGTGGGGGGTGGAAGTAGCGATGTGTACCTTACTGCCCTGGATAATATCAAGGAAAGAGAGACAAAGGAAAAGATGAAGGCAGCATGTTTAATACACAATCACAAGCACAGCAGCGGGGGAACCAGAGGAAGGAGAGTGTAATTCCCTCTGGGGCTAGACCTTAGCCGTTGCATGAAGCCAGCCCAGCTCAGAGAGGAAAATAAGAATGGCACTAAATCCCTGTAGTTCTAGTGGACTGGCAACCAGGTCCCTTCTTCTAGGGACAGCCCACATAAATCCCACTGGGAGACCCACACATGCCTGCTCTCAGTCTATAGAGTTTTGGGTGGGCCCACTTTCCACTTACAGGGGTGGGCATGTGAGCCAGGCCTAGTCCATCAGAGGGGCTGTCACAATTGGCTCAAGGACAGGCACATGACTAAGCCTGGACAATGACAGTGATGACAGGAGTTATGCTAAAAATATTGGGGGAAAAGAAGGCTCTTTTTAAGCTGAGATAGCTATGGGAGGGGGAACACCCTGCAGCTGGGAGCACCTCAAGGAGAATGGAACCAACAGAGGAGGGATATGGAGCCCAGGAATGGAGAGAAAGGAGTCCCCGTAACAGCCCACAACACCTGGATCCAGCCATGCCTGAAGCATGACCCTGGGGCTTTCAGGTAAAGGAGCCAGTAAATGTGTGGTATTCTTTTTTTGTTTTGTTTTATTTTTTAAGTTAGTTTGAACTGATTTCTGCCACTTGCAACCCTAAGAATGGAGACCTATGCCCTGCTTTGAATGGGCTGGGTAATTTCATGCATGCCTCCTTCTCTGACACTCAGGCCATCAGAAAAGTGGGGTACAGATGGAATGACATCTGAGGTTCCCCTACAGCGGTGTTACTCTAGTTACCAAGAAAGCCTATTGCGAAGGTTAGGACTGTGTACGTACCTTCCCCAGTACAGAGAGATGCCAGAGAAATCAGCCCTTCTCAAAGCTAAGCCTGGAGGGCTTGTTAAAACAGAGCTGGGCCCACCCCAGGTGTGAGTGAGCATTCAAACAAGCTCCCAGGTGATGATGACTGCTGGTCCAGTGACCACATTTTGAGGACCTAGATTCTAAATCTTTTCTACTCTTCTTGGTAGCTTGGGGCAGGTGCCAGTGCAAAATAAAGCCCCAGCCGGGCAGGAGACCAAGGTCGCTCGGTCTTCAGAGCAGACCCCCAATTAAGAAAAGTGCCTGTGTGGTTTGAGGATGAGCCAGTCTTTAAACAACGAAAGTAACAGGTCCCAGCTGAGGACCATTCCATTGCCCACCCTTCCGGCCAGCCCTCCACCCTGGCATTTATCCAAGTATTGGGGAGGCTGTCAGGGACATGGAGCCTCCTTGGGCTCAGCAGGCTCTTCCAGGAGCTGTGAGCATCCCCCAGCGGCTCTCGGCACCAGGCAGCCTGCCAGCACCAAATCCCGCTGCGGGCCTGGGCCTGACACACTGCCTGGGCTGCCTGCTGTCAGCACGGCCTGGCGGGCCCTGGGCTCTCCCTGATTTACATCCGACTTGGCTGCCTTTAGAAGCCTCCTGTGGCTTTTGGACCAGGGACACTGTTCAGTAGAAAAGGGCTTCCCCACCAGCATCCTTTCCAAGGTGGCACGGGCCCAGAGGGTCTGGCCTGGCTCAGCTGCCTCCCAGCTGTGTGACCTTGGGCGAGTTACCTGCTCACTCTGGGGCCCCAGCTTTTTATGTGCATAATGGGAACAATGGTATCTTTTGTGGTGATTAGAGAAATGGTGCTTACAAGGCCCTGAGCCTGGTCTTCAGAGGCAGCAGGGGCCCCACAGCTGCGACTTATCTCCTGGACTCAGAGCGGTCCCAGACCAGCAGCACTGGTGTGGCCAGTGCTGGTTAGCAATGCAGAATCCAGGCCCCATCTTAGTCCTTCTGCATGGAAAGGAGCATTTTAACAAGATCCCAGGTGAGGTCTACAGCTCCCAAGTCTGAGAGGCCCAGGTATGTTATTATTGTGGTTGCAGCAACCCAAGACAGAACCGAGCCAGGGGTGGGCCTGAGGGCGGCAGGCAGGTGTCAGAGGTGATGAAATGTTGAGGGGACAAAACTTCTCCCATGTCCCTGAGCCCTGTGATGGCTCAGAGAGGGGAAGAGACACAGGCGAGGTGTGCCCTACAATGAGACTTAGTAGGTTTGGGTCACAGGAATCAGCGACAGTAACAAAATTTACTGAAAACATTCCAGGTCCCAGATTTGGGGCTTTCAGCAGAATCTGGCTGCCTCTGTTTCTCTCCACAAAAGGCTGAACCTTTTGCATGCAAGGAGGCAAGTTAAATGGCCCTCTGCCTGGAGCGAGCTGCCCCCAACTCCCAGCAGAGATTGGCAAAGGGGCTGCCCTGGAAGGTTCATGCCACAGCCTGGGGGGAGGAGTGTGGAGCCGCCTGGATTTCCCCAGCTCTAGCCTTGAACTGCCCTAGGAAAGTGCTAAGGGTCCCCCTTCGAGGGCTGTGGATGGAAAGGCTACTGAGCTGAAGTTCCTGAGTTACGTCCCCTCCACTTCCACTGGGATCCACCTGCACACACAGCCATACCTGCCATACCTGCCATACCTCCAGGGCCAGCGCCAGCACACTGCGGGGTGGGGGAGGGCGCTGCCCTGCCGGCTGCGGTCACAGAAACCAGATGACCAGATGCAGATGCAAGAACATCCCAGGCTGAAAAATATTGGCTCAAATTGATAAAACTCTGTTGACAGCACAAAACAGACCCGTGGACAAGAGCTGCCTCTGGAAGACCATGCTGTTGTGATTGGTACCCATTTTTTTTTTCAGGCTTGAAGCGCCAATCCTTTTAAAACAACCCACACCTTCCACTGGTGAGAAGTGGAAGACACAAACAAATTCTGCTCAGTACCACTGGAGAGAGGCTGGCAGGTTTGGGCGGGGGAAGAGGGTGTTCTTTTTCTTTGTTTTTTAAGGTCTGCTCTAATCCATATTCTCCTAAGAAGGGTAGCAGAAAACCCACTTTGTTCCCCAAGGAAACGTTTTTTACTAAAAGCCTGTGCCACAGCTCTGTTCAGAGCATCTCAAACTCCAGGCCCCAAATCGGGAGGGTCCTTTCAGAGGAGGACTAAGACATCTTGAAAACCTACAGGACGACAATAGCATCCTTAAAGGAACCCAACCAGAGTAGCACCCCACACAGTGATGTCAGGTGCTCCCCAACAGAGAAAAGAAAGGGTGTTTCCCCCTTTTACTCAGCAGGTATTTCCCCAAAAACACAAAGATTCCTTACAAATTAGTAGTGAGGACCAGAGAAGGGAAAGGACTCGCCTTGATCACACCACAAGCCAGCAGCCAAGGCCCCCCAAACCCTGGAGTCCCAGAACCCCTGTGATAATTCATTAAATTACTTTGTGCTCAGCTTTACGAGGGCACGATTTGGTCTGTCTTGGTGACCTGCCACATCGCCAGGGCCTAGAAGGAATAAATATTGTTGCATGGGTGCACAGTGATGGGTGCATCGAATTTCCAAGCCTGGACCCACTCAGATGTTTAAACTACAGGCTCTCATTTCAGGGTTCAGGGAATCAGAGGGATTTTGTGTGTGTGTGTGCTGAGGACCCCCCTGAACACCAGGCCCTATGCTGGAGCATCACCCCCCACCAACCATCCTGTCACCCCAGGTCCCGTGGGTAGATTAAAGGCAAGCCCACAGAGACCTGAACTCCGCCTTACAGGGGCGCTCAGAGCAGGGTGAAGTTGTAACCTTTCTGAGGCTTACTATGCATCAGGCCTCATTAAGGGGTTCGAGGAAAGCTTCATGAAGTAGGTGGCAGTACAGAGAGATGCCCAGGAGGCATGGAGGCTGATGAGGAGGGTCTGTATTGAGCTGTGGTTACATTTGCCCAGAGATGAGATTCCAGGTGCCATCTGGTAATAGAATGAATGTCCTTGACTTCATGGACTGAGTGCCTCCATGAGGGCTGAGCCACCATCATCTCCGGGT